TATGATATACTCTTGTGTAGAAACGAAAATTTGTACGTATTTGCTACTATCCCAATTTTTTTGTTACATTTTTTTGTTACATTTTCTTCAAGAGAATTAGTATTATATTCCTCATAAAAAGGAATTCGAAACAACGTAAATTTTATTTGAAACATTTTTCTCTATAACGAATAATTTAAGAGAAAATTACGGTTAGCTTCTAATGGGACATCCTGTATAGGTGTAGAACTGAAAAGTCATTCTGAGCAATCATACACACGATACATTTATATATTATTCTTAAATTATATTTATCTTATATTACAAATCTTTAAACCTTAAATACATAATTCTTTTCAAGTCTAGAATTAATGATATAGAATGTTGCAAAGCAATGGTGTGCATTTAACGCTCCTGATATAGAATTTTGTTTTTCTAATTTAATTTATAAGATTATGTTTTTAATCTAGTGTGAATTTAATCTTGAGTGTAAAATTAATTTTTCGTATTTTTTCTTATGGATGACATATAGATTTAGAAGTACATTTATGTATTCTTTTTTATAAAATGACTGGAATGGAATTGTTTGGACGAAACTATTCTGAACGATCCTTTTAACATTGGCGAGCACACTAAATAAAAATTAAAGATTTTTAATTTCTACGTAAAATTTACTGGCCATGTAAGTAGAATTTAAAGGAAAATATTGACTTTTGTAGAAATTATACGCTTTTGAATGAAAAATATTTTCCGTGAAAAAGTTTTTTATACAAATATTTGCTTAAAAAAGTTGTCGATATTTCGCAAAAACCTTTTGTGATTTCCAAATAGATGTTACGTGGAAATTAAAAATTTTCAATTTTTCTTTTAGCTCGTATCATGTGTTCGTATTCTACATAATTACGTTGTCGTAAAGGAAATTGCTCAAAATATTTCTGCATTAAAACAAATTCAATTCACGTACTTTGTATAAAAAAAAAACGATAAATATCAGCTTTATTATAAATCTTCTCTTAATTTTATTTTGTTGCAGGAAAAAAAATGTAAAAGAAAGTTATTAATATTAAAATTAATTAGTATTAAGAATGTTATTAAAAACTATGGACATTCCTGATTATAAGTGAACATTAACGGAAATTAGGTCCTAGATTATGGTGTGTTATGATTAAAGGACTATTTTTATATTCTAAAGTCAGAAGAACTTTCAAAACAATTTTTTTTTTTGAAAAAAATAGCACTCCTAATTTTCTCAACTTGAAATCTCAAATAACTGTAATGTGTGATTTTGGTCGATAGCAATCTGCGACCATCATGTATGGTGAGTCTTGTAATATGATGACTTGAAATAACTCGTAAATTATTTGCTGTACGAAAAAATGTTTCAAACAATTGTATCATATAATACTGTAATTATTTTGTTATTTTGTTTTTTTATCTAGATATTTTTTGAACAGTAAATAATTCACGAGTTATTTCAACTCATCATGTCATGAGATTCTCTTTCTCTCCACACACAAGTTTCAAATTTGACTTTCAAAATTATGGTCAAGATAAATTTTGCATGGATTTGTAAATTTTTGTAAATCTCCACCAATCGAGCTCCAGAATTACGTAAGATTCACAACGTTGCGTATAATGTTCGATCATACTCTATTCATTCAAAGTGGCTTAACTTCTTAAGAAAATCCGAAACAAAACAGGGAAATCTGAAACTGTCGCAAATTTTTTAATTTTACATCTTTCAATTATCTATATATTGTTTTTCTTATATCAGCGACGATATCGTCAATACGTGAATGGTTTCGAAGAATTCCTTTCGAAAGACCATGAGGAGAGCATGACGATTCTACAATTGGCTGAGGATGAGTTGAAAAAGACTAGACAGATCACAGAGAGGAGGAACAAGCTTTCCACAGAGTACGGTAAAGTCAGATTGGAGGTATATCACTGGGAGGAGAGCTGGAGGATGGTGAAGATGTGCCAAAGGTTCCTCTATCAGGTGTCGCCGATTGCTTGGCGCGCGGATTACGACTGGATCCATCGCACTGATTCTGGAGAAAGTATTCTTCACAATGCTGATGATTTGTTCGGTCGATATAGAATGGCCGAGGAAGTTGCTTCACTGGACGTTCTCATAGGTAATTTTGTTATTTTAAATCTTTATCTCCTTTTTTGATCAAAAGATAGTTCGATCTGTAAAAAAAAAAGAAACAATTTATATTAAGAAATATACGGAGTGTCCCATTATTGAAGGTACAACCGAGAAGCGAGTGATTTTACATGAAGAAGTATATATAAAAAAAAGAAAAGAATAAAGTTTTTTCATTCAAGTCACTTTCGAAAAAGTCAAAGTTTGAAAATTTATCAGATACACTTGAATTTCGCTAATTTTGCACTGAACAAAATTGATCGATAGGAGATTATCTTCTGCGAAAATGAATAAAAAATATAAAAAAAAGATTTTTTCTTTTAAGGTCTCATTTTCAAGAAAATAGAATTTGAATATGTTTAATGAAAAATTAATTTAATAAAATTTCATAAGATTTTAAAGTTGAGTTTTCTTAAAAAAACGAAACGTCTTGTAAAAAAATTGTATTCTACAATTTTGATTTATTTCCACAATAATTTCTTATTCATTACTTATTCCGTCATTAGTTATGACCAGTTCAGAATTAGCTAAATTCAAAGTACAATTAATAAACTTTTGAACTGGATGTTCTTGAAAATAAGATTTTCTTAAGTGAAAAAAATTTATTCTTTATTTTCGATTTATATTTTCATGCAGTATCGTTTCCTCCTTTGTTATATCTTCAATACTGAGACACCCTGTACAATATTATTAATTTACAAATAGTCAACCATAAATAGCTATTTATACAGCAGATACATATTAAATTTTCATCATATTTGTATATTTTGAAATTACTTTTTAAGTATTAAATATCACTTAAAAAATAATTATAATATAATAAAAAAATATAAATATTTTATAATTGTATTATACTACGTTATGTTATTTTATGTATGTTATGTTGAATCGAAGAAATCCAGCTGACCAAGGATTAATGTTTTGTATAAAACTTATATTAATTATTTTATATGTATAGTTTATTCTTTTTAAGATTTATTTTTGATTCATTAATACGAAAGAAGATTTAGAATAATTTTAATTTTAGCTTGATTATAGATATTTATGCAGTTAATTTTAAAAATATAAAAATACGATACAGGATATGTAAAAATATTCCAAATACCTT